TGTAGGGGATTATATAGGGTCTAGGGTTTAGAGTGTTTTGGGCTCCTACAGGCCCAAAAGGTTCGCCCAACCCTAGATCAAGAAGGCTTTGTCTTGCCTGAAGCCCGAGCCTTCGAATCTTCTTTTGAAAAAGGGCCCTAAACCCTAGACCCTAAACCCTAGACCCTGAAGTGGCGCGAGGAAGTCTTGCACAACTTAACATTCGCAGAATACTGTGTAGGATGTTGCAAGGTTTCCGCCATCAACAGCCCCCAACCCTAAACTCCAAACCCTAAGCCCTAAACTAAAAACCCTAAACTCGAAAAAGCTCGAACCCCCAAATCCCAAACCCTGAACTCTAAACTCGAAAAAGCTGAAAACCCTAAACCCCTAAACCCCTAAACCCCTAAACCCCTGAACCCCTAACCCCCTACACCTCTAAACCCTAAACCCCTAAACCCCCAAACCCCCAAACCCCTGAATCCCTAAACTCTAAGCCTGAGCAACTTCAAGGCCAGATGCCTGGTTTTCCTAGGCCCAAACTTCCCGAAACGCAATCAAAGCATGTCATTTTAGGGGTTATATGAACTATAGTCTAAACTCCTTAAAGGGGGTTTTATAGGGGATTATATAGGGGACTACTATAGGGGCTATTAAGGGGGATACTAGGAGTTTAGACTACAGCTCATATGGGGATAATGGCAAAGAAAATGGAAACTACAATAATGGGTTATAATAGGGGATTATATAGGGTTCTACAACATAGGGTTTAGGGTCTAGGGTTTACCGAGTTTGGGGTTTAGGGCTTAGGAACTCCCTGAAGGAGATATAAGGGTTAATACAGGGGTACATGGGGAGCTGTAGGGTTTAGGTTTGGGGTTTAGGGTCTAGGGGGTTTATAGGGGATACTATAGGGACTACCATATGGGTTATTAAGGGGATACTGGGAGTTCAGATAATGGTTCATATAAGATTTTCTGTAGGATATAGGGGTATATAGGGTGGATTTATAGGGTTTATAGTCGGGTTTTCCAAAATTAGGAGTATTTTTCGGTTTCCTTAGAACAAGGATTATAGTATGTTGAGGCTTATCTAGGGTCCGAAACTATTCAATTTGCTGCGAGTGTTATATAGCAGAAACCTGCACCGCACTCGCAAGATTGATGAGGCTAGCAGTGGCCCTGCTCTTCGTAGTTAGCAAGATGCAAGTTTGCAAGGATACCTTTCCCTGAGGTACCGCCTTTCCTCAACCTAAGGCCAGGCGACTTGCCTGTTGTTAACCTTCTTTGATGCGTGAAACTAAGTGAGGAGCTGTGATATCCTAACCGTTGTATCACTGGAAGTGTTTTCATGCAGCAGGTTCTTATCTTATTCTGCCCTCCCCTCAAGACAGAGTTCTGAGGTTGGATGACTTGTTCCGCTGACCAAGATGACCTGGGTAAGGCCCCACAGCCTACAGGTCCCTCGAAAAAAAGTGTGGGGGAGATAGCTTGAAAGCCTTGAGCATCAAGATGCCAGGATCAAGGGTCGTGAGGTCCAGGAGTCTAGGCAATTGATTAAGAGTCTCATCAGGTGGGTACCCTTGCATAAGGCATATGTAAGGCTTATGGGGAATACAACGGCTGTGCAAAGCTTGCAAGGGGAAGTTACCAACATATTGAGGTTTCATACAGTCATACAGCATGTCCCCAAAGTGGGCCTTCAGTTTGATTTGTACGCCTCGAGGTTAAATTGCAACTCAGCCCAATCCTTCACCCCCCAAAACTAGGCCCTACACCTTGAGTGAATAGTGGTTTCCTTGTTGTTGTCCATTATGCTGGAATACTCCCTAAATAACCGTAAACTCAAACCGGACCAGGTCTTTTTCTCTTGCCTTACGCAAGCTATCCCTCCCATACTCCCCACTCAGACTTTTCTAGCGATTTGGTTTTGTCTCAGAATTCGGGTCCCCCTACATTTCCCCAATGTCAAGCGCAAGACCACTGAAAGTGACTGAAGGGGGCTCAAATTTGAGACGGCCTCATCTGTTTGAATGCAGGGTTGGACCCGAAGGGCCCACTTGCCTTGCCCTTAGGCAACCGGTTCCGCTGAGGTTTGTGCATGTAACGGAGAAGAGGCCTCCTGTATTGTACAAATCCGCCGAAAGAATGGCCCTAAACTGAAGAAGAGGATAGATCGACATCCCTTCTGGTGATATCACGGTTCTGACCGTGGATTGGATTCATTGTGTTTTTGCTTCTCAGGATTGTTGGGCAGTAGAGTTCAGGAATAGCAGCGAAAGAGTTCACACCCTCACTTCAGGGTGTGCGCCACAGAATTTCCCTAGTGAACCCCATGTTGGCGAGCAGGTGCCTAGAGTCAAGAGGGAAGGGGGGAATGGCTTTGCAGCCATTGTAGCTTACATTTGGGGATATATACTTGGTGAAACTTATGGTGAGTACAGACTGCCTGGTAATCCGGAGGCAAACTGTCGTGGCACTAGGGTGAGTAGACTTCCACGTCGGTGTTCTGCACATTGGCTGACAGATTTAGCAATATGGAAGGGAGAAAGGTTCCGGATGTCTGGGATGTTTGATCTTTAGGATCTTGTTGTCATGGTTCCTGACCTGATTTGTCCGTCGAGAGCTCAAAGGATTCTGTGCTAGATGAGCCAAAACCCAGCTGAACCACTGCCAGCTATGTGATAGCTTCCAGCGGCCTGGAGTAAATTGCAATTCCAGCATGGTGCACAACTTGAGTTATGCCTACCGTACTTGTTCAAAAGGTAAGTTTGGACATATTCAGGGACACTATTCTGGACTCATTGCAGGTTCTCGAAATTTTATGTGGTTGAGGTCAATTCCAAAAGAAGACTTGGATCGCAAAGCCACTTGCCACTATTCTCCGGGCCTCTTGGCAAAATTCTCGATGATGCTTCAAAGAGGCATTGTGAATCTGGCGCGGGGCAGCCTTTGCAATCCTAGTAGGGCACTGCTGCAGGATTCTGTCGTGTTGAATGCCATACAAACCGCTCTAAATGTAGCAGTGGCTTGTTGCCTAGCACTCCATACCTGGATCCATTCAATTTGGCAAGTTGAAGCAGAAGATTCCCGTTTGGAGATGCCAATCTGCGGAATCCTCCCACGCCGTAAGGTAGAAGCATTACTTGTAGTTGGGTCAGTGCACTTTTGTAAATGCAGAACCTTGGTTGCTTTGGCGCTGCCGTTGCCCAAATTGGCTAGCTCAGCTTAGCTTGCTTTCTCCTTGGAAGCCTTTTGTTCTCCAATTCCTCAGCCTCCAAAAGGCGGAGAAACTGCGCGCTTGAACCGCTGCCGAGGAGGGGCTAGGAATCCCTCTCCCCACTATAAATTCAACCCTCGGGTTTTAGGCGATCCCTAGGAGGGGATGTACAAGGTTGGAGAGGTGACGGGTCTGAATTGCGTTTAAAGGATTATGGGGGGTTGCAAGGATTCCCCAACTTGGAGTAGACTTATCCTACTACCCTACGAACCTAAATTTAGGGGAGAGGGATGACTGATTCTGCAGCTTTGATGGATCTCCTTAATGGAGGGCACCATGGCTGCAATTTTTCAGGGCTCTTCCAGGCCTTGAAAAGCCACCAACCCGGGTCCCTGAGGTAGGACAAACAAGCTATAGTAGGGTTTAGCCTAAACGGGTTGAAGGTTTAGGGACTCTAGATTGTACACCCGGAAAGTGTGTCTTAAGCCAAATATGGTCCTAGATCTCAAGACCCTCTACAACCAAAAGCATGCAAAGCACCCCCCCACACCCCTAAGGCGTTCTAAGCACCCGATACCCTAAAGCACGCTAAAGTACTCCAAACCCCCAAGCCTTGGCTTAACGGAGCTTGAGAGGGGGTGGGAGTGGATCCCTGTAATCATCCCTGTATAATCCCCACGTATACCCCTATAATGGTACCTATATTCACTCCCCCACTCCCCCTTAAGCACCAGTAAGTTCGGCCTGAAGGTTGAACTCTGTTTTTGTGTTGTTGGTGTAGCAGAGCGATGGGTCTTAGGGTTTCGGGCTAGCTTTTGATGCAATGTTGCCTCGGGCCATACAGATCCAGTATAGTTTCAGGTTTTGCCAGGATGGCGCCCTGCCCTTCCTTTCAACAAGTATTGCATCGTTTGGACGACCAGAGCTTAGGCTGTCAAGCTAGCAGCAACCCATCTCTTAGACCAATCGGAGATAGTGGTAGACTGTACAGAAAGCATTGCTCTCAGGGCACTCTCTGAGAAAGGTCTGGAAGAAGTGATGTTGCAGTAGAGCGGGCCCTCCACAAAAACTTGTGAAACCGTCACATATAAGGGTCGGGCTCGCGCCCTGTGCAAAGGTCAAGAACCTCCCCATACATGACTGTTCCAGGATTTGAGGAGTGTCCGCAGAATGGGAGTGGCACGTCTCAGCCTGGGTCCACTTTGCAGGGGATCTGGGGGCTCACTGTGCTCCCTTCTGTAATGGGAATATGTAACGGTGCCACACTTCACCTGTGAATACTCCCCCCTCATACCCCCTTGTGTCATCATCGGATTCGAAGTGTGTCTCAGCCAAAATGAAGGATTTATCGGACCTGATGCTGCACGCAGGGGAGTGGGAACAGTGGTTTCTTGTTCTAGTCGAGTCACATATTCCCATGATTTTGATGTGAGTGACGGCCGAATTTGGCACACCGCCATCAGCTGCAAAGCAGCAGGCGCTATCCAACAGAAGTTTTCCTTACCTGAGACACCAAAAAGTTCGTGAGTCATCATGAATCCAGTTGTGAGAGGTGACCGGAATTTGAGCAATGACAATAAGTTCAGTAGGTTCTGCATACAGGCGCCCCTTGGGGATGATGTTAGTTTTGATTAATCTAGGGCTATGGGATGTTCAGAGGCATGTGGTGGCCAAGGAGAATAAGGCGGTGTGATCTGCTTTTGGTGATTGTTGTGGAATTGAAAGTAATCCTCTCCGGCCAATTCTAACCCCCACCCCCCTAATATTAGATATTCTCGATATGTGGTATAGTACCATATATTGGGAGTTTTTAATATGAGGCAGGGTGGGGGGGGTTTAAGCCCCTAAACCTTAGGGGTGGGGGTTTTAATGTTAGGTTCCTTGAGTGTGTAGCTGTGTAGCCCTAAACATCTTTCCCAAAACCTCAAAGTTCAAACCCAGAGGCTCTGGAGGCTGCTGTGTCAGGTTCTGCTGGAGGGCGGGCTCCTTGGCTGCGAGCTGAGGCTACGAAGGCTTCAGGTTTTGAGGTGTTGGACGGCATGATCAGCCCAGCTTGAATTTGAAACAGCGGGGTCGTGCGCTGATTTAACCTGGATGGTGCACTGCACTGTCGCCCACAAACCTCCAGAACGAACCTTAAGGGACACCATGCAATCTCGATGTGGGCTTCTCGTGCCAGGGGTTGCAATGGTATCGCCATCGCAGCCTCAACCCCGAACTACAAAAAAGCCTGAGAGCCTCACCTCGAAACTTCCCAAGCTCAACCCCTTCACCGCAACCCTTGCAATGCCTAAGCTGTGGATTTCAGGCTGGCGCGTAGCTTTTTGCGGGATTGCTGGGACCTCAGAGCTCGCCTAAAGGTTCCCTTGCAGGTCGAGCATGGGCAATTATGTTCTGAAGCAGAGCCAACAGGTGTGATGCAAGCGGCGGGTTCTTTTTGTCCACTTTTAGCATACGTTCCTTAAGAAGCCCCGTAGATCAATTTGTACCATTACCCTAACCCTTGGAATCAATGCAGATGTCTTAGCCATGAACCTGCCCGTCGGTTTAGCCCAAGGCTCCCTTAGCAGCTCGAGAGGTGCGGAGTTGGCCCTGGCAACGCCTGGTGTTCATTGCGCTGCCTTTCTGCAAACTGCAGCCGCCTTGCAGCTGGAGGACGGCGTAGGCTTGCGACTGGTAACGAAGAGGAATCCGCAGAACAAGCCTGTACGTACATCTACCTGTAAGCCAAGTTGAAGCTAGCTCCAGTAATGATATGAACGAATGAGGCCGGTGATATGAACGAGTGTTGTGGGCTGTTGGTGTAAGTGCGAAAACAGTAAGTAGCAGCAGTGCTTGTCCTTCTTCCCCTACCACGAGTAGTGGTAGCAGCGGTAAGACCGCTGCCACTAGCGCCAAAGCCCGTGGCGGTGAGCAGGACTTGTGTGAGAATATTGGAAGGCAATTTGGTTGAAGTGTATAGCCCCCCTCAAGTAGATAGAATATGGCTTTATCTACTTCAGGGGGGCTATAATAGCATGTGGCAGGACTTGGCCGCCCTACCCGGGTTGTGCTGCGTGGCGGCCAATGCCCGACTGCCTCCGACCGAGGCCTTCTGTGACTGCCAAGCTGGGCCGTAAAGAGTTGATTAATAGTATGGGTAATATAGTAATCTAGGGGGAATATAGGGATTATATAGGGATAATGGAAAAAAATGGAAACTAAGGGTTTGGGTTTTATGGTGTTTAGGCTTCAGCTTTTTCAAGATAGGGGTATCCTCTGGGATCCTACGGATGTAGTTTGGTCGGAGGGTTTAGGGTATCAGGCAGCGTTGTGAGCCTTCCCCGCGAGTCGCGACCCGACTTCAGCTTGAAGGGTGCGCTTCTAGCTTTTTTGACTCTGACACTTTGTGGCTTCAGGTTTGGGTCCTCAGAAAAACCGCGCAACGAGCAAAAGCCCCACAGCAAAGCCACCTCAGAAGCTGGATCCCAAATTAGTTTGAGTTCTCAGCTTGGCGTCATAGGTAGGTTTAGCAGTAAGTTTGGAATCTTAAGGTTGAGAAGCATGTGGCTTCACATCACAAGCACTCACAAACAGTCTCTGATGCAATTAGAGTCTTGCCCCTATGCTGGCGTCGTATGACAGCCGAATCAGTTGTCGTCTGGACGACGGCCGGGGAGAAGTTGGCGACTATACCCTTGACAAATGGGCCAGATGTTCGCACGTTGAAGCGACACTTGCAAAAGCTACATGGACAGCCAAGGTTCAGACAACGACTCGTGCACAATGGCCGCGTATTGCAAGACAGTGATCGAGTGCATGAGTTACACACGCCCCGCGACCTGCAGATGGTTCTTTTGCCCTATGCCCCCGCTTCCCCAAGCACACGCACTCAGTTTTTGATCGCGTGTGCGACGGGGAACCATGCAGACGTTGAGACCCTGCTACAGCTGCCTCTGGATCCAAACGACTGGCCCTACCCACCGTTAATCCAAGTAATCCTTCATCCGCGGAGTCGTGAAGTTTTTGGCCTGCTGCTAGAAGCTGGAGCGGACAAGAACGTCAACCATAATGGTTGGACGCCAGTGAGAGCAGCCTTGTGTCGCGACATGAAGATGTTCTTGCAACTGAAGGGTCTTGACTCATTGGTTGCATTGTGGGAGATAGACACACTGGCCGCAGTTTGTTTGTGGATCAGCTGTTTATCCGACATCGCCATGGAATTCTTGGAGTGTCAGTGGCCCCATGAATCTCCAGATTCTGCAGCTCCTTCGTCCAGGTGTTTGTTTCCCCTGTTAGTCGCCGAGCTAACAAAATTGTCCGTCGAATTTCCATTCTGGTTCATCCCGTTTCGCATGGTGGAGCTGATCGCACGCGGCGTGGCTGTAGCTGCAGACTCTGTGGCAAAAAGCCGTCAACCAGGAAATGGGGTTGCAATGGCAGTACGCAAAGCCTTCATTGACGATAACATCTCATTTCATCATCAAATGCCGTGGAGGAGAATGCTTGGCATTCTGGCATGGACAATCGCTCGGTTTCGTCGACTCTCGTATGGCGTTCCTTATACGTTCCGCGAGTGCCTCCATTATGCGCCTGTCCTTTTCTGCAATCCATTTCTCCAGGCAGTTTTCGGACAACTTGTTGCTTTGTGTGTTGGTAGGACGCGGGCACGGTTGACGTCTTGGGCTGTCGGCGATAGCTGCTAGGATCACGTGAGATGATGGAAGCTGGTGCTTGGAAGGATATTGAAGTTCTTCATGGCGAGTTTCACACGAAAATTGGCCCGACATGGAGAGGCAAATGCAAGACTTTGCTGAGTGGTGGCTTATTGGTTTTGTGAAGGCTTCAGATGAGCTAGCCAATACGGGACTGTTCAAGTCACGTGTCAGTACGTAAGATTGGTAAAGGTTGAGGGTTTGAAGGTAGCGAAGTTCGCATGTAAACCGTGGCACCTCTGCTGCTGGGAGATGATAGGGGTTTGGAAGCAAGATTGAACAGTTCAGCGATGCTTGGCGTGATGGCTTGGATACGCTGCAAGATACTGTTCATGCGGAAGGCTGTGGGAAGGTGTTCAGCTACATGGGTCATGGAGACTTAGTAAGTAGGTGTAACAACCCTACAATCCATTTACTTTAATAGCCCCAACTATCCCCATTATTGGCCTACTAACAAGGGTAAGGGTGTCTGATCGCGGGATAGGTGAGTAGATTGGGTTGGTCCAGTGCTTGTCTGGATTTGATAGTATTATTTGTATTCAAACAAGTATTGGCTATTGGTGTTTTTTGCTACTATGATTGCTAATGCTGCTAATATTAGTGGTATCACTAGTTTTTACTGGTATTAACTGTTCTTACTAGTATTACTATTATTGCTAGTAAAGGTAGTAGTGCTGTTATTGCTGCTCTTATTACCATTTGTGTTGCTCGGCCCATTTTGGACTTATTGAAGCCGGCAAGTGAACGTGTTTAAGGATTTTGGGTGGGTTCTTGATTAAGTCTGGAAGGGAAACGTAGGATGTGGAAGAATTTTGATGAGGATTCTGCTATCAATGCATGTAAAGATGCTGTAGGTGATTTCTGGAATGGGCTGTAAGAGTGACATGGCAGTTTCCCAAAGAAGAGGGACCCCAATATAGACCCCAAAATACTATAATCCTTATGATGGGGACCGCAAATGGCACCCCTAATTCTGGGAAACCCGTATCCCTAAGCCCTAAACCCAATATAAGCTTTATATACCCCTATTTAACCCCCGTAACAACTTTACGGGTACCCCTAATTTTGGGAAATCAATAGCAACCCTGACGGTACCAGTGTGCTTGCGGGAGCGGAGGCCTGGATCCCATAGAAGCCCCATGTACCCCAATTTTAGCATATTAGGGTTTAGGGTTTGGGGCTTAATTAGGGTTTAGGGTTTGGGGTTTAGGGTTTGCGGTTTAGGGTCCCATAGAATGGCATGTATACTTGCTCCCCAAACCCCTTCAACACCGGTAAGCCAACTCTCCAAACTTGTGAGAGCCATGAGCAGGCCGCGACTTTGAGGCACAGCAATATTACCCTAGGTTGTTAGGGTTTAGGGACCTAGTACCCTAGCAATGGAGAATCAAATGGAAAAGCAAGTGAATGGACAGAAGCCTGCCCAGAACTGTGGCTATAAGGAGACTGACTAGTTTTTCAGCCATTCCTTCCAGGTACCATCAAACCCTCACACCAGTTGCAAAGAAGGGCAAGCCACCAAAACCTAAACCCTAAACCCCAAGCCCTAGACCCTTAACCCTAAACCCTAAACCCCGAAAACTTAACCCTTAACCCTACCCCCTAAACCCTTAACCCCAGACCCTCAACCCTAACCCCTAAGCCCTAAGCCTTAACCCTAAACCCCTCAACCCTAGCAGGCCGTGGAGTTCGCGAACCGCTTGACAGAGCTGCATCCTCAGGCCTCTCCTTACGGCTTACCCAGACCCCTGGGGGGATCTAGAAAGTAGATCCCCCTTAAGGGTTCCTAGGAATTACCCAATAGTAGTATAGGGGACCAAATTGGGGGTTCTACTTTCTAGATCCTCCCAGGGGTCTGGGCAAGGGCTTTTGAGGCTTCTGGTCTTGGAGAGGCTAAAGTAGGTTGTTTTTCAGGTTTTAGTTTGGTGTTTCGGGTTCTAGAGTTCCATGGGTTTAGGTTTGTAGTTCAGGGTTCCAGAGGTTAGAGTTTGAGGATTCAGAGGTTTAGGATTCGGGCTTTGGAGTTGGGGGTTTCAGGGACAAGGGTAAGGTAGACGCCTGAAAAGTCTGGGAAGTAAGCCTCTCAGAATGCTTATAAAGATGTGCCATGACATGCCACCAAGATCCTATCGTTAGACAATTCCATTCAATTGCTTCGGCCAAATCCTTGCTGGTACAAAACGGAAGAGGGGGAGTGAAAGTGGATACCACTTGTAGACGTGTGAAGATGGCCTGAGGATTCAATACCAGACTCTGCGCTCAGCACCAGTAAGTCTGCCTGTACGCCGGGAACTTTACAGATGAGCCTTCTTTGCATCAGTCCCTTTCCTCCCCTGAAAACAGGTGATTTCCCTGTCCTGTTCTGGCTTGTCAAGGATATGGATCATAAGAGGGCACAGGGCGAGGCATCCTTGATATTGATCGGTAGGTTTGGAATTATTCGGTCCGCCATGTTGATGGAACTAGCGAAACTTAAAGGAATTGCAAGGCCCACAAAGGGGAGGTACTTGATACTTTAGGATAGTAGTGGGATTCTCGGCTGGGCGTGCGTGTAATCATCGGCATGATAACCATTGTTGTTTTGTTTTGTGCGAACTTATTTCTAAGCTGTCCACCCGCACTCCGAAACGACAAATTCTCAACGCGCCATATTTTGCAAGGCCCCTTACCTGCAAACCCTAGACTGGCAATTTCTGGAAAGCCCTATCCCGAGACCAGAACAACCATTCACAGGAGAGGTCTTTGGTTGCTGGGGAGCTTGAGAGATGGAGGGGACCAGTGATACCAGACATGAAGGCCTGGCTGAGTTCGAGGTTCTTGTGGCATGGAGACCAAGACAAAGATTTGCAGGTCATGGTCTTCGAGTTGATAGGAACCACATGTTTGATCATGCACCACCGACACGGCCGCCGCCGCCATCGCAAATAGACTGCGACCGCTAGTGCGCTACGACTCTTGCAGCTGTCCTACTCTGACAAGTCAAAGGTTCATCTAGGATTTTCATGGTTTCCAGGCCTCCTGGCTGGCGTTGCTGCGCGACACTCCCGCGCCGCCGCTTTCCGAGGCGATTACCGGACTTCATGTCTACGGTTCATCTCCCGCCAGAAGTCAGTGCCCCATACTGTACTCAAGGTTACGGACAATTTCTTCTTTTCTTCCTGGCACCGTTCGGGGACTTTGATTTTTAGGGGTGGGTAGCTGAATGCAAGTGGAGGCGCCACCGCCCCCGCCTACATTGCTGCACACACCGCAGAGGCGCGCACTGGCCGTAGGCGGCCTGGAGGCTGGGCTGGGAATGGTCATGAAGTCCAGATCGGAACACATGTGCAATGAGTCCTACTGGTCTTTACGAACACCAGAAGTACCCATACGCAGGCAGCCCTATGAGCCGAGTCTTTGCTTCCAAGCCCGAGCTTCGTGCTGACGTAGAAGTCTGAGGGTTGTTGAAAAACCTAAGCCTGGAACCACTGCAACACGGGAGTTTCTCAGAGTGATCCCCTTTGCTATCCCTTAGACTTCCAACGTGAAGGGCCTTCACCATTTTTTGAAGCTGGCCCCAGGAGCTCCTGCTGGCAGCCCCACCGGAACTGTGGCCTGGGCTTGGTGGAGGGTGCAGTCATGACTCAAATTGGGGGGGATTTGCAACCCTAGAGGCCCCTTTTTGGCGGGTTCCCCATTCTAGTTTTTTAAGATCTTTATTCTGATCCCCCTTTGTAATTAAGGAATCCGATTTCAGTAAACTAGATACAAGCAATTCGTGTTGAGGTGGGTGGGAGGGCTTTTTGGTGATGCGGTCGCAAGATGAATAGTATGAATCCCAAAGCCTAAGCTGAGGTGCTGCGCCTTGGACGGTCGGCTCCTGACGGATCCTGCCACTTGGCACACTCAGGGATGTGTCAAGTTAAGGGATCCCCTTTCAAAAAGACACAGGCGAGTGCGTGACCTTTCTGCTGGAAGCATTTCGGAAGTCAGCCGCTCATTGCCTTCGGGCTGAGAAGCCACATGTTTGAGACATCGCCGCATGGGTAGCCACATATTTGGGTCAACAGGGGCTTAGGCTTGTCGGCTATCCATGGTACTGCTCGCTTAGGATCCTTCTATTACACTTCTGGTTTGGGGCCTAGCGAGAGAGTGAGCGCCATTTCCACTGGTGCAGGATCCCTGATAACCCTACAGTCCCTACAGTAACCTTTGTAGAAACTTTAATTCATTTTCGTTTTTGCGCACGACCGAAACCGTACCATACTAGGGCCTAACGTCTCCTGCTACCCTAGTCTCCAAACCCGAAACTGTGTTATATGTATATCTGTATAAATGGTAGTTTCCCAAAAT